TTTGATGGGTATTGCTGATTATCTTGCTACCAGGTTAGAATCCACAAATAAATTTGAGATTCTGAGTGATAGAAATGGAAATGGATTGCCGCTCGTAGCTTTTAGGTTGAAAGCCAAAAATATACATTATGATGAGGTTTGTAGAACTCTTTAATTCAATGCTCGATTTAATTCAATGCCAAATATATATAGCTCATAATGTTCATAAATTTTCAATAAATCTTGTTAGTTTGATGTTGCCCATCGTATTCGTGAACATCAATGGATTGTACCAGCTTATACTATGGCACCACATATCCAACATATTAAATTGTTACGCGTTGTAGTGCGTGAAGATTTTTCACGTGAACGATGTGATCTTTTTATTATGGATTTGATGCATACCATTGATTATTTGGATAAAATGGATAAAGATAGTATTAGCGTAAAAAGGTATTTTATCGATATAATTTTTTTTTCTCCCATATATAAAGGTTCACAAATTTATTCCAATATTTTTCAATTTTTAATTATAGAACTGCGACCCAAGGATGGAAAGCCCTAAAAAGTATCACACTTCTGGGATTTAAAAATCAATCTCATAAAACCAATGGAGTTTGCTAATTAATAATTCCTAACAATTAAATGTTATAAATATTTATTTAATTCTTTATGTAAATGACTAAAGTTTATTAAGAACGAGTACATTTGCACGTACTTTTAAAAAGCTACTATTTAACATGATAAAGTTAACGACAAATTTCACTAACGACTCTTCTGAAATTATGTTCCAATTTTATAAAAATGATGATACATGTATGCTGTATACATCGACTATGAGGTTGAAGCAAAGACATTTGGAATATACTTGCCGTAAAGAAACTTTAAAAGTTATCAATTTTTTTTATAAATACCATAAATATGAATATTATAGTTGAAATTTTACCGAATAGCATTTCAAAAATTTTGTGCTTCAAATGTCATTAATTTTATGAATTGAAAATTGTATAAACGCAGAATTTCACAAAATATTCATGCAAATTAAACACGACAATATATACCACCAGACCAGTTTATTAATATTAAAATAAAGTACAGAATAAAATACAAAACAGAATTTGCGCACTTGGACAAATAGTATTTATGAGTTAATTGGCCAACTTTGGTTTAGAACACTTCATTATTCACAAAACTAGTATTATCGATAAATTACTTTCCCTACA